GGTGTTTTGCCCACTAAAAACAGATTGGTCGCTGAAAGTGAAGCTTTTTGGCTACAAAAAAAAATTAGTAGCTAAAAACTGAGTATTGGCGACTAAAATTCAGTTTAGTAGCCAAAGGGGGACGTTTTTGGCGACTAAAAATAGGTTTCGTCGCCAAAACTGCTGATTTTTAATTGGAACTTCTTTTTTTAGCGACAAAAAAATAATTAATAGCCCAAAATAATAGAATTGGTGACTAAATAATAGAATTGGTGACTAAATAATAGTTTTAGTCGCCAAAAGTGGCCTAATTTTTTTTTTAGTAAATAATTTATTTTTTACATAAATTATATTGAATTAAAAAAAAATATATTTATAAATATTATTTTGTATTAATAGCGGTTAATATACTATATAAATAATATATATTGCATGTATATTAATGTGATGGCATAGTGGAGGGAGCCTTTGGCAAAAGGTTTGGACTGTGGTGGTGGGATGTCTCAGGTTCAAAACCTGGGAGCAATTGGTTCAAAATTTATTTATTTTTTTTAAATATGCTTTTGGCGACTAAAACAAGTGGGTTAGTCGCTCATACCTTCCGCGACTGTTTTCCAGCGACAAACATGGCGACTAAAAAATTTAGTCGGGAAAAGCTGAAACCTGACTTTTGGCAACTAAAAAATCACTTTTGGCGACTAAAAATTTAGTCGCCAAATGTGTATTTTCTTGTAGTGTAGAGACTTGTTACCCATTATCTTTTTAAACCACCTTAATTTCATTTATATAATTTAGAACTTTCCCACACAATATAAATTAGTTTTAGGTTGAATGTCTTCCATAATTTTAATATAGTATCAAAATTAGGCCTTCAATAACAATAAGCCAAGTTTTTCTAATCTATATGTCACCATCATACACGAGTCCCATGTTACAAAGCAAAGAAAAAAAAAAGAATGGCTAGTTCCATGTTACAAGCGAAAAAAGGAAAGGGCCAAGTAGATGACTTATGCATTAAGCATCACACTGAGTGTGATAAGGATCAATATCTTGTCCAATATCCAACTAGATCTAGATACTTTGGCTTTGATGGTGAAGTATATCCAATGGGCATATTCTAACTCATCTTGCAAACCAAACCATATGTTGCGGTTGTTTTCCCATGCATTTTATGGTGACTTAGTTCAAAAGAAACACTCAATTATTGGATTTATTTAGTCTTTGTCTAGGATGTAGGTTGGCTTTTTAATTTTTTAATTTTTTTAACCTAGGATTAAAAAGTATCGTTTGAGATGATTTTTTTGAATTTTTTGATTTTCATAAGAAAAAAAAAAAATGAAATGATTGTAATTTAATGTGATATTTTGTCTTATTAACTTTTTAATATATTTTATCTTTTTTGTCTATTTTAAACCAAAAAATTTATATCAAACATATCCTTAGGCCTCGTTTGGAAACAGGTTAATTTAATTACTTTTTGGCTATTTGGCTAAAAAGGTAGGTAAAAAAAATTTATATGTTTGGGATGATTTTTTGGCTAATTACGAAAAGATGTGTAAAAAGTAGAGAGAAAAGAGAATCTTTGACTTTTTGGTATGAATTGTTAGTTTTTTTGACTAATTTAGTAATTTTTTGACTAATTGACTAAAATAATCTCTTGCCAAACGAGGCCTTAGTATCCATTTGCTTTGTGCATGAGAGTATATAAGTCGGTCATTAAATAGTTGTTTCCAACTAGCAAGCATCTTTCTTTTTTAGAATAGAGAATATAAAGACTTGCAATATTTCATTTTTATGTTTTGTGGCTTGCAATATCTAACAGTCCAAATGAGTCTTGTAAACCTACCGTTCTTGAGAAACTCCTACTCTATAACTTTGTCTTCGTTTAGTACGTCAAAAAGTCTGACTATTTTGTTATTTCAGTAAAAAAATAAAAATAAATTAAAAAATTAATAAGATAAAATGTCACATTCAAATCATAATTATTTTATTTTTTTCTTATAAAAGTCAAAAAAATCTATTCCAAACGAGATTTTTTAATCCTAAACTAAAATAGACAAGAAACTAAAAAGTCAAAAAATCAACCCATATGATGAAAGAGATGATAGGATGGCCAAGTTTGGCATCTCAAAAATAATCAAAAAAGTCAAAAAGTTACACAAAAAGCAAAAAAGACATTACTATTCACAAATAAAAAATATTAAAAAAATATTTTATATATTACAATATTACAAATGGACTGAGCAGCTGTTCTCAGCCGTCTTGTGATAAAGACAGGCGTTACACACTTTGTTTGGGGCAAAAAAAAAAAATTTATATGTAAAGTCACAAAAATGTTAGGCCCATGGGGGCCTACTAAGGACTCCATTTTGATAATCCGAGCTGTTCAACATGTAAAACTCGTCGATTAATATATTTTTATAAAAAATCACATTGACCGGATATCGTTAACTATATGATCAAATCAGTTTTGTATGAACAAAACGAATGGTGTGATAGTTAACTGTTGAAAAAAAACTAATTTGATCATATAACTATCGATATCCAATCAACGTAATTTTTTACAAACATATAATACTCGACGAATTGTACATATTGAACGGTTCAGATTATTAAAATGGGACCCATGATTGTCCCCACGGACCGACCATCATTGTCCAAAAGTTATTTGTCCCGAAGGAGTTGATTATTTGTCTGTATAGACATGCTGGGGGCAGTTGTACAATCAATCATCTTTCTTCCACTACACACTTTATTTATATAATTTTTTAATATATATATTTTTATAAAAAGACAAAAAAATTAACTCAAATATTTATATTTTTTTCTTAATTTTTTAATTTAAAAAGATAAAAAATACATTTATGTAGAATACCACAAACAACCTCTGCACGTGGACTTTGTGGATTTGCAAAGTCTCAAAGAAAAAAAAAAAAAAAAAACAAATATGAAACAAACTAGTTTATTAGATTGCTGGCATTGCACATGGGTGTTGGCAAGTTGAGGCTGTCCTCGAATTTGAGATCTCTCACTTTTTGCATGAGATGACATAAAAAGTGCACATCACATCTAGTTTTTTTAACTCATACATGACAAATATTAGGTCAAGTTATAAGTAAATAAAAAATTTTAATGGCGAATTAATGGAGAAGTTGGAGGTATCAAATTATAGGCTGAGGAACATCATTCTTGATTGTATTTAATGGAGAAGTTGGGAGTATTTGAAATCAACCATTGTTTTTGGAAGGCGAATAAACGCAGGCATCTCATGGCAAATCTGGGCAACCGCTCTGTTTTCAATTTTCATCTCTTTAGTTTAACATTTTTTTATAATTTCAATCAACTGACACTAGATGTTAGCAAAACTATTTGTAACAGACTTATTTTAGCTTTTGTATAGCCTTTTAATTTTTATTTTTTTTAACGTGGCTTGTAAGTTAAGTTGTATTTTGTTTATCTTTCAAGCTTGGTGTGAGGCTAAAAGTTAAGTACCTAGTTAAGGAAAAAATTAAAAATAAAAATAAAATAAGGAGAAGAAGAAGAAGAAAAAGAAAAAGAAGAAGAGATAATTATATTCAGGACAATTCTTAGGTATGCAACACTTCCCTTAAGAGAAATAATATTCATACTTTATTTGTATATTTGTTTTCATTTTCATTTTTATTTTTAAGTCTCTCACAAAAAAATGAAAAATAAAATGTGAGAGGCAAAAGTAGGATTAAGACTTGCGAAATTAAGTAGACTATTAGAAATCAAATGAAATTTTAATAATTGATTCATTTTTTATGAGAGATGATTTTTTTTTTTTTTGAAAATTTTATACCAATATCTTCCACTGAAATAATATATTTAACTATTTTAATTCTCTAAGCATTACATAATAAATGTCGAATGCTATATGTTTTATAATAAAGATTCATTTTGCTATAATTAAATAATTTTTTTTAAAATTCTTAAAGCTAGTTATTTATCTTGTTTGAAATTGGGATTTCTGTTTATGTGGGGTCACAGTAGTCATTATTGTGCTGTTGATGAGTTTTATTTTAGGACTTATTTTGATAATTTAAATCATTTATTTTTTAAAGTATATTGAATAAAATATATTTATAAAAAATCAAATGGATCGAAAATCAATAGGCCATTGAATTGTATTTGTATTTAAATAAATAAACAACAAATGTAATTTGAAATATAAAATTTAATACAAATGTAATTGATGAACATGTCATCGATATTCAATTAATTTGATTTTTTATATATATGTTTTATTCAATTTACCTTAAAAAAATAGTTTGGAACATCTAAATAAACCTCAAAATGGGCTCTGTTAGTCGCATAACAGCCATAATTCCATGTTTTCTTGGATAAGTCTCCAATTCCGACTTATTTACATTTTGGCCTATTTTGAGAGGTAAAAAAAAATCAAAATTTTGACTTTTTATAAAAAAAAATTTAAAATACAACAATGATTCATCCCACTAAAAATATCACCACTAATAGCACTAATGCATTAAAAAAGTATAAATAAAAAAAAAAATACAACTCCAAGACCAAAACATCACATCATTAATGACGGGACCCACTGCCACCTAATTAGTGGGAGCACTAATTAGTGCTCCCAAGCATTTTTCTTTAAAATATATAAAAAAATAATATGATCAAAATAAGTTAATAAGGCTAAGTTTGGGAAGTCCCAAATAAGTCAAAAAGCCAAAAAGTTACTCAAAAAGTTAAAAAGTTAACACTATTCACCAAAAGTCAACAATTACGGCTGCACAACTCCCAATTCAAATTTTCCTCTACAAACCAATTTTTACAATTTTTTATTACACATTTTTCTATAAAAAGTCAAAAAGTTAACCCAAACATCCATATTTTCAATCTCAATTTTTTAGTCCAAAAAGACAAAAAGTACACTTATTTAGTCTTCCCAAACTTGGCCTAAATTAATAAATCGATATTTTTTTTCTTAATCGCCAAAATAGACATTTAAATCAACAAAATCAGAGAGTAATAGGTGCACGGTTTCTATTCCCAAAATGTAGCCATAATTTTCTCTAGATTTTTTCACTTTCTCTTTCTATATAAACATTTCGCTGGCGTTTCCATCAATCTTTGCATGGCTGTTACATTCACGGCCTCAAGATTTTCTCACGACCCAAACACCACAACAAACCCATAAATCAACCCACACTCTTTGTTCCTCTAAAACCCTTCTTCCATGAACGATTCAACCCCATTATAGTCTCTCCCTTGCAAATTTGCAGAAGCAATTCTGTAAAAAATCCCTCTTTTCTTCTCCCAATTCTTTTCTCAAATCAATCAATGGCTGAACCCAAGAACTACATTACATCCCTAGACCTCAAATCACACAGCAAAGCAGGGGATCTATGGATCTCTATACAGGGCAAGGTCTACGATGTCTCCGATTGGGCCAAAGATCACCCAGGTGGTGCTCTTCCATTGCTGAGTCTCGCAGGCCAAGACGTCACTGACGCGTTCGTTGCTTACCATCCAGGCACTGCTTGGCAATATCTCGATAAGTTCTTCAATGGGTTTTATCTCAAAGATTACTCTGTTTCTGAAGCGTCCAAAGATTACAGAAAGCTTGTTTTCGAGTTTTCCAAAATGGGTTTGTTTGAAAACAAAGGGCATGGTGTTTTTGTTTCGTTTTGTTTCATGGCAGTATTGTTTGTTGCGAGTGTTTTGGGTGTTTTGTGTTGTGATAACACTTGGGTTCACTTGCTTTGTGGTGGATTGATGGGGTTTTTGTGGATTCAGAGTGGTTGGATTGGGCATGATTCTGGGCATTACCATGTTATGCCGAATCGAGGGCTCAATCGATTGGCTCAGATTCTTACTGGGAATTGTCTTGCTGGGATCAGCATTGGTTGGTGGAAGTGGAACCATAATGCTCATCACATTGCTTGCAATAGCCTCGATTTCGATCCGGATCTTCAACACATTCCATTCTTTGTGGTATCTTCGAAATTCTTTAACTCAATTACATCTCATTTTTATGGAAGGAAGATGACTTTTGATCCTATTGCTAGGTTCTTAGTGAGTTATCAGCATTGGACATACTATCCTGTTATGTGTTTTGCTAGAATTAATCTGTTTGCACAATCTTTTATGTTGTTGTTGTCAAAGAGAAAAGTACCCAATAGGGGTCAAGAGATTTTGGGGCTAATTGTGTTTTGGATTTGGTATCCTCTGCTTGTTTCGTGCCTACCCAATTGGGGAGAAAGACTAATGTTTATCATTGCAAGTTTCGCGGTTACTGGCATTCAACATGTTCAATTTACTTTGAACCATTTCTCAACTAGTGTTTATGTTGGTCCACCTACTGGAAATGACTGGTTTGAGAAGCAAACAGGTGGGACACTCAACATAGCGTGCGCTTCTTGGATGGATTGGTTTCATGGTGGATTGCAATTTCAGGTTGAGCATCATTTGTTCCCTAGATTGCCTCGATGCCAGCTTAGGAAAATTTCACCCTTTGTCATGGATCTCTGCAAGAAGCACAATTTGCCTTACAATATTGCTCCATTCTGGAAGGCGAACGTGTTGACAATTAGAACTCTTCGCAATGCAGCCCTGCAGGCTCGTGATCTTGCCAGTCCAATCCCAAAGAATTTGGTTTGGGAGGCTGTCAACACTCATGGATAATATTGCAACATGTTTTTGGCTATGATATATTATCTCAATTGTTTTCCAAGGTTTATCATCCTTGGTATTACAAGAAAATAAAATCATATTTGTCATTGCCTGGAGGTTTCAGTTATTTGTTTGTTTGTGTGTAGTTCTTTGTCTTCTTGTTTCTATCAAAACACAACAGCTAAGAGTTTGGTGGGATGTGAATTACAGAGACCAACTACATCCAATGTTCGAATTTAGTGGTCCACTATGTGCTTTTTGCATTATAGGTTCTAGTCTTTCTCTATATATATTGATTTTGAGTTAGGTTGAATTTTTGTTTGTGTCTAGGTGAAAACTATGCAACATTTGATATTTCTTGTTTTCAATCAATTACAAAAGATAGTTTGAAGATGTATCTCTCTCTTTGTGGCTGTTGTATTGCGTAGCCTGATATATACGATGTCCATCTTTTCTTGCTCTATGATGTGATTGTTTTCTACTGTTTTTACCTCTGTTTTCCAAAGCAAAAGTATTTTTAGTATTGGAGATTTGTTGGACTATAAAAACAACAGCAGCAGCATCCATATCTTCATTTCCAATTAATCAGTTATGTAGAATTTCCAGTCATTTTGAATTTTGTGTCTGAAATCCATAGGTGAGAACTTGAATTGTACAAATTTGCAATCTTTTTCACTAGTTTGAAGCTAAATTGTTCAAATTTTGTTATGGATTTAGAATTAGTATTGGGGGCTTTCATTGCTCGAATTCAAATCTGTTTACACACTAACATTACACTTTTCATTGATTGATTTTTTTTGAAAATAAATGTGGGACCATCTCACTCATCCACCAATGGGAGTGTGTGTATTGTTCACATTAGGTGAACAAATTTGCACTTCTAGAGCCGACATAGTTTGAATTATCTCTCTCTCTCTCTCTCTGCTGAAATTGTGAAAATAAGAGAAGGTTCAATTTGTCCCACCCCGTAAAATGTCTGTTCAAATGGATTTTTCTTTTTAATTTTTTTTTTAAAGATAAGTTCAAATGAATTTTAGAATATCAATCAACATTTTGTGCAATAATGTATGAGCTTAAAAGTGACAAAGACGAACCTACTGCCCTCAGTTCAATATTTGTCAAGAAATTTGGGAGCTAATGGAAAAGAGTTGCGAGTGTGACCTACAACAAATCTGGCTTGAGGTTACGTGTGTGCTGATATTCTTGCAAAAGGGCCCTTGGTATGGATGTTGGCAGTGAATATCTGGTAGATGAGCCCTCTGTTTTGGCTATGGCTTTAGAAAGTGACATATGGGGGATTGGTTCCTCTTGTAGTGTTATTCTGGAGTATTGGCTTCTGCCCTGATTTTACCAAAAAAAAAGAAAAAGAAAAAAAAAAAGGGTTTTGCTTGCTGCCCATGTTACACACATTTTTGTAGGATATGCATTGTATTCTCCACTTAAATACAAATACAATCAAAGAATTATGAAGTCAAAACTTGATTGAAATGAAATTAATGAAAAGTTGGACAAACAGAAAGGAGTGTTGTTTTTTTGTTTTTTGTTATGATTTTCCATAGTAATGTTATACGGTTTATCCAGTAGGTCAAGTTAAAATTGAAATAAAAAGTTATTAAAATCACAATTTAAACTATTGAATTACCACAACGAGACCATTATGGAGTGATTCAGTACAGAGATTCTTGATCCAACGCAAGGGGAAGTGGTAGTAGTGAAGTGTATTGTCATTGATTTTCAATTTTTTTAAAATATCTACTTGGAACAGGGATGTGCTTTCGTCAGGGAATTTGAACTCAATAATACCTCTATAACAGAGGATTGTAGCTTTCAATTCATGTTATCTTTAACATATTGATACTTAGTTTATTTAGCATTTTTTAAGATATGCCGTAAAATGAAAATGACCGAATTTTTTGTTATCAAATCAATGAAACAAGTTCATTTAGAAGGAAACGTTTTTTTATCATTGAAAAGTAAAAAAATAAATAAATTAAATTAAAATCATACCAAATGCCATTATACCGAGAAATTATTAGGCACGGATAGCTCCTTAATTTGTGATTAGGTAAAAGGAACCAAATCACATGCCACTGGAATGCCACTGGATCAAAACGGAGCAGTTGACCACAACATTTGGGGCAAACAGCTCCGACCTGTTTGGAGACCATGAAATACATCAGACAGCTCTTGCAACCCGCAACCACCAGTACATGGTCATCTTTCTCACCATCCTCTCCATCGAAAGAGCTATCTTCTTCTTCTTCTTGTGAAGAAAAGCTACCTCGGTACTCCGTTGCCATCACTGCTGCTGTTCTCGGATCCTCTTTCGCTTTCATCCTTGTCCTTGAGTTTACGTAATATATCTCCCCAGTCTGCAACAACAATAACAAATTGTAATCACGAAGTGAGTAAAAATTAATCAAGTCTTGGTGCTAGACCCAATGCGATACTCACTCCAAAGTGGAGCTAGGTTGGACACCTCAGCCCTATGGCCAACACTTGCTCCGAAGTAAGACAATCATAAGAGTTCGGCCCAATGTACGAGCGTCACCCCAAAGTGGGCCGAGCAACATGGTGGACCTTCTGGATGGACAGAACCACTCCGAAGTGGGTTGAGCAACATATTGGACCTTCTGGATGGACAGAACCACTCCGAAGTGGGTTGAGCAACATATTGGACCTTCTGGATGGACAGAACCACTCCGAAGTGGGTTGAGCAACATATTGGACCTTCTGGATGGACAGAACCACTCCGAAGTGGGTTGAGCAACATATTGGACCTTCTGGATGGACAGAACCACTCCGAAGTGGGTTGAGCAACATATTGGACCTTCTGGTTGGACAACCGTTCTAGAGCAGACCAACTTAGAGAAGGCCAATTCACTGAAGATCTTTCTTGGGTCCACTAGAGACAAACAACTCTGCTCCTCTCCCTCTGTATGAACATAACGTGGAGACATGGAGGTGCAGAGGGACAAGGAGCATATATGACAGACCTGCATCT